TTTTTTATTTATTTTATTATTTTATATAAAAATAATTTAATAATTCCTCACTATTAATCCCCTCATTATCAATCTCATCACTATTAATCCCCTCACTATCAATCTCCTCACTAACAATCCCCTCACTATTAATTCTCTCACTATCAATCCCCTCTATTTTACCTCCCAAAACAAACGGGGCCTTATACCCTTTCTGGTTACCACCACTGGATATACCTTTGCGATGGTAGTTGCAAAGGTGCTAGGGTTGAAAGGTATTTGGAGAGAATGGAGAAGGGACAAGGGGCAAGTTAGTATTTTCAACAATATATATTTAAGGTTGTGTTTGGTAAAATTTTAGAATTATGATTTGAGATAGAGTTATTTTTTAAGTTTGTGAGTTTTGAAATTATGATTTGAGTGTAAAAAATTTGTTTGGTTATGAATTTTGAATTGAGTTTGAATTGAATGATGTGACATATGATATTTGATTAAAATATTTATAACTCATAACCAAACACACAATTCAAAATTCTATTCAAAACTCATAAAAAATTTTAAAAAATTTTCAAAATATTTTTTATTTAAAATATAAAAATAACAGGTGCCAAAAAAAAAAGAACACTGTTCCGGTCAACCGGCCGAACGTTCACGAGGATGACCGAGTAGACGTGTTTTGAAAAGTGGGCGTGAAATCAATTTTTGAAAATTGTAAATAAACATAGCACTCAAATCATGCTGTGGAATCATGTTTGAAAAACTCCACCAAACACCACCTTAATTTTTTTACTATTTTTGGCTTGTTTTAACAACACGAAAAATTAACAATTTATTAATTTATTTGAATTACTTCACTTATTTATATTTTTACACGCCTTTTCATAATATGTAAAAAAATTTAAAAATCAACCCTATGTGAGTATAGGAAAATTATTTAATATTTTTAAAGTATCACGTGCACATACTTTTTAATCAATCATTATTTAATGTCTCCTCATATTTTTCAATCACCAACACAATACCTCACCTATCCACCTTCTTTACAAATTACAATGTTATAAAATATCACATATCTATACTCCGAAATTACTAAATAATTAGCCGTGATTAATTATCCCAAATCCCACAATCATGTATTTCTCGATTGATTTATTTATGGGTAAATTAAAAACACACTCCTTGATATTTATCTAAATTACAAATTACCCCTTGTAATTCTAGAAATCACATTATGCCCCTTAAGGTTTTTAATTTCATAACAAATATATCATTTTATTAATAATTTATCAAGTTAATTAACAATTTTTAATAATATTAAAATTTTATTTCAATTAATAATTTAAATAATTTTATTATTATATAGGTGAACAGTTAGAAATTTTACTTTTTTAATTAATTCTGTTAAATAAAAAATTCTAACAGTAAGGTATTTATAATTTTCTAAATCACATGGGGCAATTCGTATTTTAAGCAAATCTTAAGGGATGTATTTGTAATTTATCCTTAAAAAAAAGAAGAAGAAGAAGAGAAGATAATATATATAGATTTAAAAGTAAAAAATGTTCCCCTTTTTACTACTTGCACACACATTTTTTCTCTTATGAGTACACTTACCATTTTAAAAACAAATATATACATATATATAGATATATTATGATTTTTTACCTTTAAAATTATCATTTACAACAAAATGAATGATAATTATATGTGAGGATAAAATGATAGTAATAAAATTCTTGATTTCCAATTGGGCTCCTTCGAAAATTGGGCCAGCTTGGCCTACCCATTTCCAAATTCCTAAGCCCTTCCCCTAAGCCCAAATATTCAAGGACCAAGGGCCTGAGATTGGGCTTTAGGCTTGAACCTGAGGGCTCTTTCTTTTTCTTTTTTTTGAAAATTTTCAAATTTTAGTGTAAATTATAAATTCATAATATAAAAAAATTATGTTAATTTTCTTAACTTTCTAGTTACTCATTTATTAATTTTAGTGCTGCTTATTATGTTAATTTTAGTGTCATTACCACCCCTACCACCACTACACAATCATCACCACTGATAGAGATACAAGTCAGATTTTGGACGATTTTATAGAAATCCGTGCCCGCCCCGTATCATATCGAGAGCGGGGCAAATCGGGAAGTGACGGAAGGGGTGGACGCTAGAAGGGAAGCAAGTTAATTTTATAAATTGAAAAATAAAAACATTAGTATATTACAAATAATAATACTTTAATAAGAATT